TATGTAAACCCACGCATCCCGACCTGCCTGTGTTTGGCCCGGTGTATCAGCTGATTTGCAGATTCTAAAGATTTTATTTTTAATTTAGCAGTGCATATGCTAAAAGGTAGGTGTGTGTGTGTGTGTGTGTGTGTGTGTGTGTGTGTGTGTTAATAATAATAAACGGTTTATTAATAGAGTTGCAGCCGGTGACTGAAAATATACAAACTTACATGTAATTTAGACGTAATAATATACGTTCAATACATTTACAGGGCTGTACAGTACATCAATCAGGAGCTATTTATTATTTCAACAATATATGGGATGGTGCTATTCATATATGTATATATATATATATATATATATATATATATATATATATATATATATATATATATATACATATATATATATATATATATATATATATATATATATATATATATATGTACAGTATATATATATATATATATATATATATATATATATATATATATATATATATATATATATATATATATATATATATATATATATATATATATATATATATATATATATATATATATATATATATATATATCCACTACCAAACCCTGCTAGTGCGTGGTGGTGCAGGTCACTGAGGGATGGCCTTTCCAGGGTGGAGAGAGCGTTGGTTGTTGTAGCCGGAGTAGTCTGCTCCGAGCATGATTCTGCAGGCCCTCTTCTGTACCTTCTCTAGCAGACGTTGTTGGGTAGAGTTGAGAGAAGATGACCAGGCTGGTGACGAATACGTTAATTTTGGGAGTATAAATGCGTTGTAGATAGTCCTCAGCTCTGGCGTGGGTGTCCTAAGTGACGTGAGTTGTCGTAGTATATAAAATTGGTACGAGGCTGCCTTGATAGTGTTGTTTACATGGGCCTTCCAGTCCAGTTTGTGGTCTATAGTTTCACCCAGGAGTTTGGCAGACTGCACTAACTGAAGAGGATGGGCACCCATTGTAACTGCTGGAGTTTGCACTGGAGTGGTGGCGGTGTTGATGTGCATGACTACGGTTTTGGTGTGGTTGATGGTGACCTTGTTCTCCATAGTGCATACCTGTAGCCTGTCCAGGGTGCGTTGTAGCGATGAGTAGTCCGGTGAGGTGTTGTCCACTGTAACCCCCACAGTGCAGTCATCCAAGTACTTCCACCTGTGAGGAGTGTCCGATAGAGCGTCGTTGATCAGGATTAGGAAGCACAGTGGTCCCATCTTAGTCCCCTGGGGAACACCGCAGGTGAGGTGTTGGAATGTGGAGACAGAACCTTGGTACCTCACTGCCTGACAGCACTCACTCAGGAAATATAGTGAGCCATGAGACCAGGTTGGTGGGCAGCCCTTGTGTGTGTGTGTGTGTGTAGACTCAAATACACCAAATTATACACTTGGACATATGAAAACATTTAAGCTTAAATTTTTCAGAGGACGCACACATACCACAACTTCTTTGCTGTCACTCTGGATCGAGTATGGCGATCATCCAGCTATGACACAAAGATATGAGTTATTTGTGATATCAATTTCGTTGGTGAGTTTTGAGGTGACTTGAGAGGCTGATACGGGACAGACAGAGCCGTCCGTGTGTAGGGCAACATGATTCTACATCTAGTACGTGCGGGAGGGGCGGCGGCAGCGTCTTTTCGGCGCTGGCACTTGTCTGCCTTGGTATGTAGTCGGGCTAACTCGAAAGTATTGACACCCTTTCGTGTGGTGCTCCTCCAAGCGTTACGGTGTGGAGGGATTGTCTCCCAGGTGACGGGGTTGTTTTGGCACTTTTCAGGTTTTTCTTCAGACTACTAATTTTTTTATACGTTTTCCATTGCCCGCCAGCATTACGTTTACCATCAGCTGACTGTAGATGTGTAGAGTAGCTGCTTCGGCAGTCTACTGTCGTCCATGCGGATAACATGGCTAGTTCAACGTAGTTGTTCATGGATAATGATAGCCTCGATGCTCCTACAGTTTGTGTAAGCGAGAATATTGGTATATATTTTCTTGTCTTCCTAGCGAACTCGTAGGATGAAACGTAGACTACGTTGATGAAAGTTCCAAAGTGCCTTGAGGTGCCTCCTGTATGTGACCCATGTCTCGTTGTCGTACTACAGGAAGGGGAGGACCAATGATCGATATACGTGCAGCTTTGTAGATAATTTCAGCGCCCTACAGCTGAAGACACGGATACGGAGTCTGCCAAAGGCTTGAGACGTATATCTGATCAGATGTTGAACTTCTTCATCGATGTCTGCGGTGGTGGACAGGTGGGCGCCAAGATACTGATAGTGGTTAACATTAGAGAGGGCAGAACAGTTAACCTGGATGAATGGTGGAGGTGTGGCTGAACCAGGGGCAGGCTGGAGGAGAATCTGAGTCTTATGCATGTTCACCTCAAGGCCGAAGCGTGCATACCCTTCTGCGTAGGTGTTCAGGATCTCCTGTAGATCATTCAGCGTGAACGACGAGGGTGAAGTTGTCTGCATACTGAAGTTCAATGATGGAAGCGGCCAACACCTTTTTTTGCTTCTGCTTGGAGTCATTTTATGTTGAAAAGTTCCTACATACGGTACTAGACGTCCACCCTGCCGACTTTGGTACTGGCACAGTACACATTCTTGTTTTACCCGCGTTTGGATGGGGAAGAACTCGGACTGGGTGCCATCGTGCGGGACACTGCCGTTCATGCCATCTTGGAGTTGCCCCACAATGGCGATGAACTGGCCAGCCAAAACGACTGACGGCTTCATAATATTATTTTTTTGTAATAGTACTCATTTCCTATGACCTATGGCAGCCTTGAATTATACAGTATATAAACTGTGTGTGTATTTTTTTTTTACTGTTTCCGTAAAAAAAAACTTGCCTCAACTTAAATTTATTAAAATTCGGTAGGTATAGAAATTCAGAAAACTTGCAAATATCTCTCTCTCTCTCTCTCTCTCTCTCTCTCTCTCTCTCTATATATATATATATATATATATATATATATATATATATATATATATATATATATATATATATATATATATATATATATATATATATATATTGTAGGACTACAGGAGGTTTCTAAATCTCCGCGTAATGTTATGTTAGGGGGTGGGGGAATACTTTAACCTGAGCGAACCTTGCCACGCCCACCTTCACTCTATACGCTCTCAGTTCATACACACTTTTTTTTTACGCTTCTCATAGGAAGTGAGTACTTTTGTCGACTTCGCGTTGACGGAGAGTATGCAAACGTTGAGTTCCCATTAACTTAAGTGACCCCCGTACACAGATATTGGAGTAAACAGAGAAAATTAAAGAGGAGACCCAGTAAGGAGTGATGGCATATCCGCCAACACGATATTGCCTACGGTCTGGGGGATTTTCCCTCCTGCGTCTGCGTTAAGTAAATGGAGCACTTACAGTATTTAGAGACGCCTCTGGTACGCTTTTGTTTGCTCATAGTGGAAGATGATGTTTCGGGAATAAATAAGAATTAAAATATATGCAGTAATCACGCGAATATTGTAATGTTTGTGTAGCTTATTGCAACTTTCGTAGCCCAGTAAACAAATTGTTAGGCCCGCGCCCTCTTCCCCCCTCCAACCGCTAGAGGGGAGACGCTCAGCTGCCTGTTAGCGTTTTTCTGTAGGATTAGTAACTTTTCATTACTTATCATACTTTGAGGACAGAGGCTTATGTGATGTTCTCTAGCATCTTTTCTTGAACCCAACTCTTCTGGTTACCTATATACAGTAATTTCCCAACTCGTTTTCATGGATTATATTTCATTGAAAATAAAACATATGTTTCTCGTACATGTGCAGAGATAAATATTTTTGGAACCGAAATTGAACGTAAATTGTGGATAACGCAAGAGGGGAAAGTGAGAACAGAAACGGAAGCAGAGAACAGCGAACTCTGGCATCGATGTCGTCCAGTCAGTCAATCCGTGTAGAGCAAGAAGTGCAGTGTGTGTGTGGTGGTGGAAGTGGTAGTGGTGAGACAGGTGGTGTTGAGCTGCCGGGTGTAGGGCAGATGTGAGCAGCTAGGAACGTGCTGGACTGCAGGAGTACTCTCTGAAACTAACATTAAGCGTATTGACGTGTGCGTACCTGCGGCAGTAAGAGAGAGAGAGAGCTCGAGCGAGCGGAAGGGAGGGGAGTGGGGGGGTGGTGTGGAGGGCAGACGTGCGGAAGCAACACCCTGTAGAGGACGCTGTGGGAAACCTATGAATAATACTCTCGTGGTGCGTTGCGCTCTGCGGTCATGATACTTCTGTGACGGATTCAGATAAAAATTAACCAAGATATTAATATATATATACGTTACGATTATGCATGAAAATCTTAGCAAAAATCTTAATTTATAACATCACGCTGAGTATTTATGATTATATACTAAAGTGAAGACCCTCAAAATATGCATTGCAATGTGCAGTCACTGGTGCGAGGTTGAGCTGCCTGCAAGCACAGCACTTGTTGCATCCTCCGGCCCGGCGCCAGCTGCTGCTAGCAAGATCAAGTGAAGCTCCCCAGTGTACGATGATGACACTGATTGACTATTACGCACAGTAGATTTGTTCGTGTTTTGTGCACCATTCAATTTCGTACATATGCAGTCCAGTAAAGCAATTACAAAGAAAAGACGTGTATGGCAAAAATAGCATCGTACCCCGACAGGTTAACGATTGTTCCCACCGTAATTAGCAGCAACTGTGCCTCGTTACATTTTATAATTACAGCTCATTCGTGATGGGTTTATACTCCATCCTTAAAGGGATCTGCCAGTTAGAATTCAGTTTGAGATTCAGGTCCAGCGTTTCGGACACCCAGTGATTGATTGATTGAATCTCTCGATGCGTATGTGGGGAGGAGGGGAAAGGTGGTGGTAGGGGATTGTCCTGTGGTGGCTGGGACGGGTTGAAGTGAGCTTTGTTTGCCCTCTGGCATTTGATACATTAATTATTGCCCTTAACCCCTCGACGCGCTCACAGCTGCTTCCTATGGTGCTAAACAGATGTTCTAAATATGGATTTGAGACGAACTATGACGTTAGTTCTGCTCACTTTGGTGATACTAGAGGCGGTCGCCGAAAATGGTGACAAGAAGAAAGGAAGGAGGATGAAAAAGAAAATACGGAAGAAGTGGAAAAGTAAGGCCAGACTGGATTTACCAGGAGAGTTGGCAAGCTGGACTCCTACTACAGAACCTCCAGATATAAGAGAATCGATACTGGAGGGAAACAGTGTGTATGGACAGCAGGAGGAGGATGCTGGTGACATGGAGTAAGTGTGTCCGCTTTTTGCCCTTTTCCCTTCTTCCACTGACTAGATGAACCAGTCTTCATTGTAATTTGAATAACATTAGATATGGATGATTATATTAAGGTATTACGACGCTAGATTATTTCAGGAACTTTACAGATACAACAGGAAATCAGTTTTGGTTTAGACTGATTTGTTTAAATAAGCGTGTGTATTTTGGTTAGGTTAGGCTAGGTTTAAGTATATAGAGAAGCGTTCTTAAGTTTTGTGAATGTCTGTATGTATGTTTTTGTCATTGTTATTACAGTTTATGTATAGCCCCTCGGCCTCTTCCTTTGTTTTTTCTGTTAGCCCCAACATTTTTTCCCCCTCCCAAAAATTTCGTCCTATTCCAATATTTTTTCTCCTCCCGATAGTTTCCTCCCCTCCCGATAGTTTCCTCCCCTCCCGATAGTTTCCTCCCCTCCCGATAGTTTCCTTCCCTCCCGTCCTGATAGTTTCCTTCCCTCCCGATAGTTTCCTTCCCTCCCGATAGTTTCCTTCCCTCCCGATAGTTTCCTCTCCTCCTGATAGTTTCTTTCACTTCCGTTCGTGTCCTCCCGTCTTGGTAGTTTCCTTCCCTTCTGATAGTTTCCTTCCCTTCTGATAGTTTCCATCTCGCCCGATAGTTTCCTTCTCTCCTGGTAGTTTTCTCCCTTCCTTCCGATATATCTTTCATTCCTTCTCGATATTTTCCTCTCCCGATATTCCTCCCTCTCAATAATTCTTTACCATCCCACCGATATTTCTCTCCTTTCATGATTTATCATTAATTCTTTCCCCTTCTCCCTCAATATATTAAATTAATTAATTCCCGATATTTCTTCCCACCTCCCTATATATCTTTAATTTTCCCGATAATTCACCCCGTCCTGATATTTCCTCCTTTCCACATTCCTCATTCCTTCTCCCGATATATACTTTTTTTTATTTATTTCTTACTATTTCTCTCCTTTCCTTCTTTTATCTTCGTTTCTTAGACCAACGTACTTCTAATTTCTTTCATCTCGTTCCCGTGTTTAATCTACCTCTATTTTATTTTTTTTAACAATCACTTCAATTCAGTTCTCATGTCAAGACCTCTTTTGTCTAATCCTTTTTCCTTCATTCTTCTTTTAACAAATTTTTCTTTTCGTATCTGTTATTGTGAAATGAATCAACTTTTTCTCTCCACATTGTACTGTACAGTACATACATACAGTATGGCATTATGCAAAGCTATAATTACTCCTGAAATAAGCCGCTCAAAGAAAATGGTCAAATTTCCTGTTTTCTGTAGATTGTTATTGTTACGTTCATTCATCGGATCCTCTTCGTTTGGTAAGGGATATATATATATATATATATATATATATATATATATATATATATATATATATATATATATATATATATATATATATATATATATATATATATGTATATGTATGTATATGTATGTATATGTATGTATATGTATATGTATATGTATATATATGTATATAAATATTTGTCGGGGTTTGCTTTTTTATTTTAGTTCTTTGGTGGACGCAAATATGAAGAATACACATATTATTTGTGTAAAATAAAAGCTTATGCTGCTAGACATATTCCTCACATAGACAATTCGCGCCTTGTTCAATTTGTATAGACGAAGTAAAATTGGAGGCTAGTGAAAGTGATATAGAGTTGTATTCCTTATATATCACATGAATAACCTCTTAATAATACTGGATAATTATAAAATGGTGCAATGCTATGCTAAAATTTTAAATTCCTTTCATACATTACAACATTTATTTTCTATTACTTAGCATAAACAATGTCAAAGAGAGTGTTTCTTGAACTAATATGGGCTATAGTTTTGCCTCTGTCTTTGATACCTTTAACAACAGAATCTCAAGATACAGTAACAGATAAAAACTTGTAAGTCAAACATAGGAATATGACGCAGAATAGAGTAGATGGTGGTGTAAAAGGCTGATTGCATGCCCAAACATTTCTACTTGTTGCAATATTAATCATTAAGGTACAGTACCTAATTCAGTAATGTAATATCTAGATTATAGCATGATAGCCTTCCTTTAATTCATAACCCAGTCATTACCTTATTGCTGTACCCATTTTATAATGGTTTGTTGCCATTTCGTCTTCACCAAGGTTCCTACTTTATTCTTACCCTATTAGTCTACTCTTAAAATTGTCATATATCAACTATAAGTTAACCACTGAAAGTTATTACCTGAAGATTATCAAGTGATCCCATGACCTGACCTGACCTAACCTAACCTAACCTAACCTAACCTAACCTAACCTAACCTAACCTAACCTAACCTTATTTTTTCTCCTGTATTATTTTGCTTTAGGACATAGTGCACCCGAAAGTTATAAACTACTAAAACATTTAGACATCGCTATTCTGAGCATTTTGAACCCCCGTATATAGATGACGGAAATGGATAATAGCGACAATTTAATTTAATTGATTTTACGTAGTTTGCAGTCTCCGTCTGTGAGGAGATGTTATCGCCGCATCACGCATGCACAATATTGACTGACGTCATCCAGTTGTGACCAATGATGTATCAATATCACGCAAATTTTTTTCGACCAATCACATTTGAATTTTTTCAAAGGAAGCAGCCTGGGTACAGATTTTAATTTCATTGGCCAGTCTGACAATGGCCGTGGTGGAGGTTGGTCGTTATTTGTGCTCCTACGATTATTTTAAGTTTATTGCTGAGTTTTACAGGAAAGACGATCATTCTATCCAATTCTTGTGTATCCCTGTTCCTTCCACTTCTAACTGAGGTATTGTACTTTCGGACATGGTGCGCCCCAAAGGTTTTAACTACTGAGACATTTAGGTTAGTTTTAGGTTGGCCTACCGGGGGTCCAGGGGCAGATTAGATGACTCATTTTCTCACCCATCCCAAAACCCTAATTTCCCAGGCTCTCTCCCATTATTGTGTGTGTGTGGGGGTAAAAACTATAAATTTCTGCCGAAAATGAAGAGTTGATTCATTTAAAACAAACCAAAATACACTGGAAAATCATATTGGTCAACCCCTAGGGACTCATGTCCTCAAGTAAAAAGGTACCATTTCTCCTTTATAGTTCATTAGAGTTTGTTTATATAATAGGCAATATCAACAGTGTAGGCATAAGACAAATGAGTGTAAGACAAATAATATTTTTTAATAATTAATTTTATTCTTTATTATTTACTGATTATGAGCACTTCTCTGACATGTAAAATATTTAATTTATTATATCATAAGATTGCACTGAGGAAGGCATTACAGTATAAGTATTATGCAGCAGCACACATTAACTCTAGTACATATTATGAATTTATAATCATTATACAAGAGCAAATATTTTAAAAACCATAAAAATTACATTACAAAAGTCAGCTTTATAAGAACAGCTACTCCTCGACTGACGACCACCCGGACATACGACCGCCTAAGTAGAACCAAAATTTTGTCAAATTATGTATTTTCGAGTCCCAACGTCGGAAGACAGAGAAAATTTTCGTTTGTAATTCACTTTAAAATGGCTGGCAAGCTTAAAGGTGAGAGTTTTGTGGTGCTGAGAAGAAAAAGAGACACCCATTTTAGATTTTCTATGTATTATTTAAGCATTTTCGACTTACGACCTGGATTTGGGTCCCTAACCCTGTCGTAAGTCGGGGAGGAGCTGTATATATATATATATATATATATATATATATATATATATATATATATATATATATATATATATATATATATATATATATATATATATATATATATATATATATATATATATATATATATATATATATATATATATATATATATATATATCTCTCTCTCTCTTATGTAATCAGTATTATGTGTACCTAGATTGGGATCTCGAAAAATATAGTACAGGGTATTGTATATAAATTGGGGCTTTTGTCCTGCTTTGCACTTTAACTGAAGGGACTTTGTTTGGGGAGCTTTTGTCCTGACCCCAAGGTGAATAGTAGCCATTCTAAGTAAAAATAATAGGAAATTGGTGGTAAGATACAGCACATTTCTTGTCTTCTTTTTTGTTTCTTGTAGTATAGTTGATAATAAAGCAGATTGGAACTTACCAATCTGCCAGTTTATCCGAGCAAAGAATATACCTGTTGATAGTGTCGTTTTATTAGTATTTTGCAAAGGTGTGTACACTGTATAGTATACAGTACATGTATATGGATATGTGCTTGTGTAGTTCTAATCGAATTTTGTCATGAAAACTTAATATTAGTTATTTTTTAAAGGTAGTCTTCTGAAAGTAATTGCTTCTTCAGTGTCTTGTACTGTAATGTACAGTTGGCTCCACCCTTCTCCTTCCCGCTCACTGGGCGAATGTTTCAAATTTACACTTCAGAGTTTGGGGTTCACACCCCAGGGAGAGAGAGAAAGGATTGGCAACTTTTAAGTGGTAAGGACCGCCAAAATAGCCGAAAGGCAAAGTGGCCAGAAATACCCAAACAAGGCAAGGCAAGTAGTAAATGCAGGAGTGGAGCCAACTGTTCATACAGTAGATTTCATGAGGATTATTAACCCCCATTTCTTTCAACTAATGAATAAATACCCTAACTCTAACGTAACCAAACCAAATCAAAGTTAACCTAACTAAATTAACCTCTAACAGCCTAACCAAACCTAGCCCCCATTCACTATTTAGACTGCAGTGGTTCCCCATATGCATGAGATACACAGTACTGTTCTGTACATGGTTAAAATAATCATGAATTAGTTGATCTTCAAAGTATAATATAAATATGAGTACAAGGTGTGAAGTTGATTCAGTTGATTTTAAAAATTGTGGGGCGTGAGGGTTTGATAAAAGCAAAAGGGAGACGTCATGTGAAAAAGTTTGGAACCACTGATTTAGAGTGTTTAATCATCAGGTGAAATAAGTGGAAATTCTTAATCTTCATAAGATCCCATACAGTATATGAATGATGAATTATTCTTGTA